GTGGGAGTGCCACTCAGCCAGAAGCCAGGCTCATGGCTGGTGAGCGCAGCAGCGGTGGCGGGAGCCTCTCCCACCTCCCTGGCAGTGCTACCGAGCAGCAGCAGTGGCAGCAGGCGCAGGGGGGCCCAGATGAGCGGGAGTAGTGCGGCACCCAGCCCCACCGCTGGCCCCTCCCTGGCTACCTGCTGCTTTGCGCACAGCTACATCCCCCCAGGGGTCCCAGACTGCAAGAAGGCACAGGCCAGGCTGAGGGACCCTCCCGAATGCACAAATTTTTGTGCACTGGGCCTCTAGTCTATATATAAAAGCCTAAGTGACCGAACGACTGTTCAACCAGTCACTCTGACGCGCACTGACCACCAGGGGAATGATGCTCAATGCACATGATTGGTCTCCCTCCTGCCTGGATAGGTTATGCAGGGATAAGGCTGAAGCCAGCTATCTGACAAGGGATCCTGGATTGTGAGAGGACACAGGTCAGGCCAAGGGACACACTGGTGCACGAATCTCTGCACCAGGCCTCTAGTCTATAATAATAAACGTAACATGCAAATCGACTGAACAGCCAGACAGCGGAACGACCAGACGAAGCTGGGGCTGCGAAGGCCTACTCTTGCACAAATTTTGTGCATCAGGCCTCTAGTATGTATATAAGTTCTTTGGTTAATCTCTTCCCAGCCCCACTCCACCTTTCCCTCTGAGATTCATCAGTCTGTTCCATGTTTCCATACCACTCCTTCTGGCCTGCAATGTTTCTGTTGAGAAATCAGCTGACAGTCATATAGGTGCTCACTTGTAGGTTTTTAAAATTCTCTCTTTGTCTTCAATCTTTGGCATTTTAATTATGATGTGTCTTGGTCCCTTTGGGTTCATCTTGTTTGGGACTCTCTATGCTTCCTGGACTTGTTTGTCTATTTCACCAGGTAGGGGGAGTTTTCTGACATTTTTTCAAATAGGTTTTTGATTTCTCGCTCCCTCTCTTCTCCTTCCAGTATCCCCAGGATGTGAATGTTGGTGCACTTGAAGTTGTCCCAGAGGCTCCTTACACTATTTTCATATTTTTGGATTCTTTTTTCTTTTTGGTCTTCCGGTTGGGTGTTTTTTGCTTTCTTATATTCCAAATCTTTGATTTGGTTCTTGGCTTCCTCTACTCTACCGTTGGTCCTCTGTAAATTATTCTTTATATCAGTTAGTGTATACTTCATTTTTGACTGGTCCTTTCTTATATTGTTGATGTTCTCACTAAGTTCCTTAAAGTTCCCTTTAAGCATTGTTTTGAATGATGTATCTGGTAGTTTTCTTCCATTTCACTTAATTTTTTCTGGAGATTTATTCTGTTCTTTCATTTGTGACATGTTTCTTTGTCTCTGCATTTTGGCTGCATCCTTGTGTTTGTTTCTATGTATAGGTATATCTGCAATGTCTCCTGGTCTTAGTAGACTGGCCTTATGTAGTAGGTGTCTTGTGGGGCCAATGGAACAGTCTCCCTAAATCACCTGAGCCAGGTGCTCCAGGTATGTCCCTGGGTGGGTTGTGTGTGCCCTGTTCTAGTTGAGCCTTAATTGTTGTTGGATGCTGTAGACAAATTCCAGCATGTCATAATTTTAAGAGTTTCATCAAAAGGTTGATGAGACTTGGGGACTCAACAGGGTTGAGTCACACATGTAGTCACCTATTGGGAATGGCTAAAGGACTTTCCCCAAACCTAAATAGGAAACTGATTGTGCCTGCCAGACAGTTAAAGGGCATCTTAATCTACATGTTATTGCCTCCTACTGGCCAAACACCTGAACAGCTGTAGGCTATTCCCCAAACTGACAATGCTTTTGTACCCTTTGAAACCTTACCCTTTGAAGTGTATTATCTCCACCTTGCCTTCGGACAAATTGTGTGAATAAAAGCAAGGGTCCTAGGCAAGGAGGGACTCTTCAGTTCCTTTAGCTGAAGGTCCTCTGACCCTCAATGCCTTTCAAAATTATATCTTGTCTCTGGACTCTTTATTCTCTGGATTCCTATGTCATCTACGTGCAGCCCCTTTCCAGATCCCTGAACCCTTCTTGATGCTGGGACATGAACCCCGGCATAAGTAGACGCCCGAAGTGGGACTTTCTGAACCCTGGAAGCAGCGGCCGTTGGCATGTCAGTGGACTGTATCTTTTTAAATATGATATGTCTTGGTGTGGGCCTCTTTGGGTTCATCTCATTCATTATAGCAGAGGAGCTGTTGCATAGGGACTGATCCCATGGAACAGGATTCATTTTAGCAGGGCTCTGGTGCCAGCTGAGCCTACCCTTTGGTGGTTGCATTTGTGAAGGTGGTTGGGTAGTGCTCTGATGTGGTCTGAATCAGGCCACTGGGTGTGTTGGTTCCAGGGCCTCTTGTGAGGGACCAAATTCAGCCATTGCCTTTGCTCTGCCTGGGGCCACTTGGTATGACCTACAAAGTGACCTATAGATGTTTGCCACTTGTGCTGGGCTTAGAGGTGTCTGGGAGAAACTAAGCTGTGAACTGAGGCTGCCTGCCACTAGTGCTAGGCTTGGAGCTGCTTATCAAGAGGAAGGAGAAGGTGTCTACATCAATGATAACTTTTTTTCCCTCAGAAGATTCCTTTATTAAAACTGAGTGACATTGATAAGGGGACAGTGCAAAAAATTTTGGTCCAGGAAAAAAACAATCCTTATATAATAAAAGCCCAGTATGCAAATTGTTCAACTGGGAGTTTGACTGCTCACTATGATATGCGCTGACCACCAGCGGGTGGTGCAGAACATGGCATGTGTCGGTGGCGCAGTGCTAGCAGCGGGCGGCAGTGGAGGCACTGCCAACCTTGATGGGCCCTGATAAGAGCGGGACCTTGGTGGGATGGTAGAGCAGGTGAGTGGGCAGCACCAGGCCAAGGCAGGTGCAAGCAGGCACCCGATCACCCCGCAGACGGCTACCTGCATTAGTGGCCGGGGGTGGGGACACTGCCTGGCTCCCAGGCTCTGAGAGAGCCAGGTGGGGGGCCCAGCCCCGACTGATCATCCCACAGATGCCAACCAGTGGCTGGAAGGCACTGATTGCCTGATTGGCCCCAGGCCCCAGGTTGTGATGGAGAACTGGGGGTGGGTGGCAGCGACCAACCTCCCGCGGTGCCCAGGTGGAAGGCTGCAACCATTCACCAGACTACCTGGGGGTGTGAGTCCCTGGGACGGAAGTGCGGTGAGAATGTGGGGTGTCCGCCAAGCTTGCTCTCACTCCCCCTGCTACCCTCCCCTGGGACGCAGGGCTCATGCACTGGGGAAGCCCCCGTACCCCAGTACCGGTTGCCTGTGAAGAGCCAGGCTGCAGCTGCCAGGGCTGCAGGGCGCTGGTCGGGCTCCCCATGGGTATGTGCCGAAGCTGGTCTGCAAGGCCAGCCGGGAGACAGTGCGCTGCCCGTCTGGCTTCCGTGTGGCATGGCTGGCTGGTCCAGAGGCCCATGCAGTGCCCGGGCCCATGGTGTCCAGCCGCACTCACCACATCTCCGCATGGGGACTTGGGTGCTGTGACTCAGGCGGAGGGGTGCGTGCAGAGGTCCGGGTGCTGCTCAGGGCCCAGAGGTCAGCTGGGACCTGCTCTTCCATGCCAGACACTCACACTTTGATCACTGGCCAGGCCTAGGGACTGCACCTGTGCACAAATTTTGTGCACTGGTCCTCTAGTACAGTTAAAAAGTTATCTTCAACAGGACACTCTGTAGGAATGCTGAGCTGGTTTCTCATGGTTCCAGCCCCAAGAACAGAGGTTGTCCAGTCACCAGGGAGAAGCTTTCAAGGAAGGGGTGGGATAATAGCAGGAAGGGGAAGAGAGACAGAATATTCTGCTGTCCCCAGTGTGGAACTGGCATGTGTTGTAAATGTTTCCCTCCACGTCCTGCTTAGTTCAGGGTTCAGGATCTGAAAGAGGTGACACACACAAATGAAAGAGAAAAGACAAGATAATTTGGGAATATTGGGGGCCAGGCGGGTAAGTCCAACTCAAGAGGAAGGACTTCCACAGTGCTCAGGCTGTACCAACCTTTTATAGTCAGGGGTAAACAAGGCAGTGGTCACCATAGTTACACAGTTCTTGTGAGTTTCACCTGTTTTGACCATAGTTACACTTCCTGCACTTTCCTCAGCCCATTAGCCTCCCAGATAAGATCCAGGGAGTGTTATAAGGTCAAGCCTAATTAAGCTAAGAGGACTGAGCCCTCTAAGCTGGGACTTGTTTGTGACTTTGCCAGCAGGTCAGTCAGAGGCTCAATCCTATATCGGTTCCCCACAGCATGGATACCAAGCTGGGGGATGTAATCGTAGGAGCCTGAGGAAGGGGTGGGGAAGCATGGGCTTTATCAGGTCTATGGGTTTAGAGCCCCTGCCCAACAGAATTCCCCTTGCTGTGTTGAGTATGCAAGCCTGGGATTCAGGGAAGGGGTAGACTTGGTGGGGTGACAGCATAATCTGGGTAGTGAACTTGGCCTTTACCAAGGCACAGATGGAAGTCAGGACTACATTGCCACACAGGGACCCCTGCCTCACACCTTGCTAAACTTCTGGTTCCTGGATTAGGAGTTTGGGGTTAAAGTTGGCTTTGGGGGTGGGTCAAGTGTGGCCCTCCTTTTGCCCTGTTCCCTTCTCTGTCCCCAGTCTAACCCAAATTACCTCCCTCTCCGGTTACACCTCCTGTTTAGATGATCGTGAAAAACATGTATTTGATTTTTAATCAAAAATGCTTTGTTTTCTGTAAATGTGTCTTTTGGCACTCATGATCTTTGTTCTCCTCCCTCTTCCCACCTGCCCACATCCTCAGATGAGAGAGATGTGGCTGAATGCAGATATCATACTCAGGACCCTCCAGATCACCTTCCAGAAGGTACTAAAAGGGGAGGAAGAGGCTCACACATGGGGAGAGCTGTTTCCTGTCTGTTTTCTCATCTGTAAAATGGGCATTAACAGCAATACCCATCTCTTCAGTTATTATCTATTGGATTTAAATGGAAGGTGTTTAGAACTGGCTCTGACATGTAGTAGGTGCCCAATAAATGCTTTCTTTTTTAAATTCTTTGCACCACTTTTCTGTGTTTTAAATATCTCATGTGTATAACAGCTGCAGTATGTGTTCTGGCCAAACAGGGGTCCACAGCTATCCTGACTATATTTTCGCCATGGTGGATGATCTTGTTACCTCCAGGGATCTGGCCCCAGCCCCCTCTGTGTCCACTGAAGGTTAAGGAAATTGGGGTCTGGTGGGACAGAGGGGACTGGGAATGGGGAAAGGAGGCTGGAGAGAGTCTTGCAGTTTGAATGCCTATTTTGAGTAACCTGAGACCACACTTGTTCATATTGTATCAACTGAAATTGTTAGCATTTATTGAAGGTCAACTGCCCACTAGGGAGTAAACTCAGGAGTTGATGCTCAACAGATGTAAGCAATTAAATAGTTGTCTTATTTTTTTAAATATATTTTTTATTTCAGAGAGGAAGGGAGAAGGAGAAAGAGATAGAAACATTAATGATGAGAGAGAATCACTGATCGGCTGCCTCCTGCCTGCCCCACATTGGGGATCGAGTGTGGGGCAGGCAGGAGGCAGCCCGTCAGTGATTCTCTGCGACCTGGGCATGTGCCCTGACCAGGAATCGAACTATGATCTCCTGGTTCAGAGGTCAGCCAATGAGCCCGCCAGCCAGGCAAAAGTTTTCTTCTTTTAAACTAAAATCTGAGGGTTCTGAAAATCAAAAGGCCCCCAATCCCAAATGCCCACATAAAAGGGATTGTGGGCATGCCTTAACTGGGCTCTGATTCTCACATTTTAGCATGGGATGTGGATAAACAGGTGTCCTGTGTACTATGGATTATGTGAAACAGTTGCTCCTGACCCAGGTATAATGAGGGCATACGTGTATGCCTGTACAGTGCAGTCTCCTGCCCCTGAGGGCCTGCCTGCTCTTGCGTCTCATCTCTCTCGCCCTGAGGCTCCCACCTAACTTCAACCTTTCAGACCTGGTCCTTCCAGAGTGGTAGCAGCAGCCTGCAGTTGTGCAGGCAGAGTGCTGGTACAAGCTCAGGCTTCTCCTTTCAAGGATGCATCCCTCCTTCTCATCTTCCCTTCTCAATGACTTCTTCCCCTGTCAGGAGTAATACAGTTTCCTGTACCATGCTGTGGTTCAGATGGTCTTCTCAGAACTGCAAAACTTGAGTCCCCATTCCCAGAACCTCAAGGCAGTACCAAGGCGCCCTTTCCTTCCACCTACACCCTCAGACCAAGATCCCGAGCACAGGTGTATGACCACCACCATCACACATCCAGCTTCTGGTCTCCTTTTAGGAGCAGGGACTAACTCACTATGATGTCTACCTTTGTCCTCCTACTTGCTCCCTTCCAGACTGTCTCCTCTTCAGCTTACCCCACAGAGCCCACAGTGATTCCATCAGGAGCCTGGCCAGTTTTCTTGAAGCCTCAGGTCCTTTCCTCCTGTCTTTCCCCAGAAATGTGGCCCACTCTTTGATGATGCCATCTTCCTCCAGAGTTTTCTGGCTCTTCCTGCCATGCCTGCCTGGCCTACCTGGTGTTTTCCTAATATACATAGCTCCAGTCCCTCATTCTTCCTTTTCTAATTTCTCATGTTGGGAGACTAACCCTTTCCTCATCCTTGAAACACCAGACTCTTTCTTGCTGTTCAGTTCGCTAAATTGATTCATCCTTTCTTTGAATTGATCTCTGGGAATCCATGCCAATATAACTCCTTAATTCCAGAGAGCCCATTGCCCCTGCCTCAAAGGCTTGCCCTGTGGTCCCATGTTAGCCCTTTCCTAGCTTCCTCGGTCATTAATCAGCACATATTTCTTTCTTTTTTTAGTTTTGTTTTATTGCTTAAAGTATTACAAAGGGTATTACATATGTCTCCTAGCTCTCTGCCCCCCTTGACATTCCCG